AAAAAAAAAAAAAAAAAAAAGTGTTCTATCTGTTTCAAGCATTGCAGTGGCTTCCTGTTGCAATTGAAAGAAAACTTAGTGTCCTTGTCATAGCCTATCAAGGCATTCAGTCTGTTCCTCGCCTGCCAGCCCCCATTCTCACCCCATGTTACGTCAGGACCTGTCACGGTCTGCTCCAGGTCCACCGGCTTTCTCTCAGTGGTACAAATGCCAGGCTCATTCTTGCCTCCTGACCTTTGCAGGTTTTAAAACTAGAGTGACCTTTTAGCCAAATGTTAGCTCCATTCAGGGAGATCTTGGACCACAAGTAACTCTATGAAACAGCCTGGTGATGTACATTGTCATCCTACCTTTTTCTCTGATGATTTTTCTCTTCTTTCTCAGTGGTGTAGTTTAGGTATTAACACTTTAATTCAGTAATAGTAGCTAAATGAAGAAGAAAGAATAGGAAAGAGGAAAATTAGGAATAACAAGCTAAACAATTTCACTGCGACTACCTTGAAGCGTATACAGCTTCATGGTCTTGTTAGTGGATCTTGTACAGGTCTGTTTACATCCGGTACCATGCTTGTGGAGAGGCCTATTCAGCCAGTCAGAACTTTGGGCAAGGAGAAGCCTTGCTTTCCCTCATCTTCTCATCTACTCGTCTCTTTTTCTAAGTCTCCCACATGTGCCTCCTTTGTAAGAAGAAAAACTAACTGCAGTGAACCAGAAAGACAGAGAACCAAAAAGAGGGAGAAATTTATTTCCACATTTACAAAGTATTTGTGCTTGTTAAATTCTGAATTTTCTCTAAGTATGGGACACTTTAGGTATTTCTCCAATATTTTTTTGAAGACATTTAATGCTTTTCTACTGTATGGGATTTGCTGTTCTTTTTTATTATAAGTTATTTCTTGTTAAGGAGCACTGGTAGAGTTCTCCCCACATATTCTTACACCTGCTGATTAAGTCAGTCTGTTTTCATCATTCTTCAGTTTCTCTAAAACCATTTTAACATGTGTAGGGTGTATAATTTTTTTTTTATTTTAACAATTCTCTTCTTGACTACAGAAAATGTTAATATTTTTATTTGAAAAATGCATGTTCTGCATAACACTGAACAGCTGGTTTTTAAAATAAACTTTAATTCCAGATTGCCTAAGACTTACTTAGACTGAACTTAGATTTTAGAAAGTACAGTAAGAACTTAATAATTGGGAAGTTCTGTTAAAGGAAAAACTTAAACTATTTGTATGTGTTTATATGACTTGTTATAATGCCAATTGTTGTTCTCTGAACATTTGTTTTATGAATGTTCTTTTCTTTTAGCTTGATAAAGATGACATGGTATACATGGAAGCATATGATAAATTGTTGGAGTCCTGGTTAACTTTGGTTCAAGATGACAAACATTTCCATAAAGGCTTTTTTACCCAACATGCAGTTCAAGTTTTCAATTCCTATATTCAGTGCCACCTAGCCGCTCCAGATGGCACAAGAAATTTGGTGAGTTTTACGCAAGATGGTAATTAACAGTCTATTTCATCATAGGCTATATTTCACCGTGTTACACATTATATAATGCCAGAAATTCAGGATGGGTTCCCTCAGAAGATTTGCTGGGAGCAGAAGTGGCCTTGTTCTCTGAGTTCTTCTTATATGGGATGTTGCTTGTATGTATTCCTTTTCAGTTACCCACCTCTTTCTGTCTAGCTGTTAAGAGAGATGAATAATTTGGACCATGGATGTCCGGTCTTTTCAGTGACAGAAGTTCAATGCTCCCATGTGGGAGGTGGGTTGTGGGCATGCAGTTAGTTGTGTTGATCACCATGGAGTGATTCCTGTACTTCTTGCTCTTGTATGTTTCCCTGTTTTGGTAACTATCCCGGCTGGCAGCCGTGTTAGAAGGGAGTTCGTAGATAGCTGTGCTCGAAGGTTGGCTGTGTCCCGCTCTCCTTTTGCTCTGCAGTGCTAAGCTGTCTAAGCTGTGTTACGGAGCCGCAGAAGTGCATGCGGAATAGGTAATGCAGTTCCTCATTGTTTATTGCTTTCACTTGCAATAGACTGCCAATGGCGTGGCCTCTCGTGAGGAGGAAGAAATAAGTGAACTTCAAGAGGATGATCGAGACCAGTTTTCTGATCAACTGGCCAGTGTAGGAATGCTAGGAAGAATTGCTGCAGAGCACTGTATACCTCTTCTGACAAGGTACACACAGTCCAGAGAAACCCCATGGAGCAAATGTTCTCCATTCACAATTCCCTGGAGGGCACTTAAAGTGTGTAAAGACTTTAAACACCCCACCCCGTGTCCCAGCACACTGGAACAATGGACAGAAACATACTCATGATTGCCTTCCTTGGCTTAGACCTTTGGAGCCCAGGCACTACAGCGTAGATGGCAGAGAGATTATGGAAAACATGGTATGAGAAATGATTTGACCCATATCAGTAAAAACTTGGAATAACCAGTTTTCAAATGCCTGTTGTAAACCTTGTTTGTAAAGCAGTGTTTTAATTCTGTGTTATAAAAAATAAATCATAATTCCTATAGTGCTGTGAGAACAGTTGTGTACTATAATGTTTTTGTATATGTGTTTTTACGCTAACATTTAATTCGTGTTGTCTGATATATGGAATTTGTAAGTTGTTCCATGTCTTTGCTTATTGAACTTTATGAAGCTGCTGTTTTCTCCTCTTTTAGTTTATTAGAAGAAAGAGTAACAAGACTCCACGGTCAGTTACAACGACATCAGCAACAATTACTTGCTTCACCGGGTTCAAGCACTATTGACAACAAAATGCTTGATGATCTCTATGAAGATATTCACTGGCTTATTTTAGTTACAGGTTGGTTGGTGGTTTCTTTTTAAAATGTAATTGCCAACTGAGCAGTTTAAGCCTTAAAAGAAACTTCATATATGAAAAACAATAGTGTGTATACAATATTGGATAAAATTTGGATACAGCTATTTTCTGTCATAGAACTATGGATGCATTTTTAAAAAATACTGGCTAATATGTATGCAGTGCTATTGCATACCAAATGTTTTACGGATCTCATTTTACCCGCTGAATTAGTATTGCTAGGTAGTATTACTGTTATCATCATCATCGTCATTATCCCCAACTAATAGATGAAGAAGCTGGGACTTGGAGAGTATAAGAAACTAGCCCATTGTCACAGTGCTGTTCATTTTTGGAGCCAGAATGTAAATCTAGGCAGTCTGACTCTTAGGATCTGCTTTTTTGACCACCATACTGTTAGTGATTCCATATTTTAAGTAATAAGGAAAAATCTTGACTTTTGAAAATGAACTAATATTGACTTCTAATATAGATAGTAGCAGAATTTCTATTAACTTTACAGAATACAGTACTGAAAATTATTTAAGACAGTAGATTAAAAAGCCCCTATGAATTACAAAATTGGTGAATAAAACATTTGTCCTTTTCTGTATTTTTGAGGGTTACTTATCTGAGACGTAGAAAGTTTTTTTGCATAAACTTGAAATTAACAGGTTAACATTTATAATTTACATCAATTTATATGATGTATCTAAATCAAATAAAACTGAAAACATTTATAGTACAATTTGATAAATGTAGATTTGTTAAGTGTTCATTTTTAATTTTTTTTAAACTGAAGGCTACCTCTTAGCTGATGATACTCAGGGAGAGACTCCGCTAATACCTCCAGAAATAATGGAATATTCCATTAAGCATTCATCTGAAGTTGACATTAATACAACACTTCAAATTTTGGGATCTCCAGGAGAAAAGGCTTCTTCCATCCCAGGGTACAACAGAACAGATTCTGTGATTAGGTAATATAAACTCTATAGCTGTGCTCTTGTAATTTTTATACTGTTTTATAAATTCTGAGTTGATGGGTAGATGACTGGAGTGATAGGCACGTTGTAAATCTGATACATGAAAAAAAATGAAAACTTGGAGAAGCCTTGAAATACACAAGGATGGCAAGTACTCAGTATATTTAGGCAATGCCACTCTAGTGAGAGTTGACAGCTATCCCCAGTACTGAAGAAGAGAAATGTCACATTATTCTGAATACGATGAGACTTGGAAGGGACATTGGATGTAGTTATGAACGTGACGCCTGTCCATCAGAGGGCAGTACTGATGCATGCAGGCGCCCTAAACAAAGGGGACCAGATGAACATTAAGTCTCGCTCATAAAAGCTAAAACTATGTTTCGGTGGCTTTCTCATGGAAAATGATGGATAATTCGTATCTCAAAAAATGGAAATATTTATTCTAAATGTGAAACTGAAGAGCCCTGTTAGACGACAGGAGAGTGCCTCAAATGAAACAATTCACTTTAATCTTTCTAGTACTAATGGCAAAATTTTCGTTAATTCTTAATGGTGAAATTAAGGAGGGGTAAACCTGTATTAGAAATGTCTGGCCAGGTGCAGTGGCTCACACCTGCAATCCCAGCACTTTGGGAGGCTGAGGCAGGAGGATGGCTCACACCTGCAATCCCAGCACTTTGGGAGGCTGAGGCGGGCGGATCACGAGGTCAAGAGATTGAGACCATCCTGACCAACATGGTGAAACCCTGTCTCTACTAAAAATACAAAAATTAGCTTAGTGTGGTGGTGCAGGCCTGTAGTCCCAGCTACTCGGGAGGCTGAGGCAGGAGAATCGCTTGAACCTGGGAGGCAGAGGTTGCAGTGAGCTCAGATCACGCCACTGCACTCCAGCCTGGTGACAGAGCAAGGCTCTGTCTCCAAAAAAAAAAAAAAAAGTTCCTAAAAGTGGATTTGAAAACAACATGTAAAATTTCAGTATCTTTATTTTAAATGTAGGTTGCAAGCAGAGATGTCAGTAATGATAATAACATTGGTTTTTATCAGCTGCAAAACCAGTAACTCAAACAGGATGCTGTCCCCTTTATTCTTTTTGGTATGCAAAAATATATGGATATCATTTAAACATGCAATAGAAAATGTGGCTTTTAAAAAAATAGTTGAAATATTAAGCTGATAACCAAGGATATGTGGGGAAATTTATTTCCTTTATTGTTGCATTGTCTTGTTTGAAATAAAATCATACTTTATTGAAAAAGTTACATCTTCATTTTAGGATTACTATAGTCATTAGATTTAGTGTCTCTGGAAATCAGTGCTTTGCTCTGGTTTGGTTGATGGTGAATGTTAATTTAAAAAGCAGTTCATTTCAGGGTGCTGTCATATTATATATTCTTTGTTGTACTGTTTGCTTGGGCAGTAGCATTAGGAGTGCTTTCCTTGTATTTTAAGTGCTTTTTCAATTTTTGTCAGTCCCAGATGTTAGTGTGGGAGTGACACATTTTGGTATCTGAGAGCACAGACTATGGAGGATTGGGACAAAAAAAAAACTCACTATATTTTTAATCCAAAGAATTAATATGAAATTTAATGTTATATGGTAGAAACATTTCTTGTTTCACTAAAAAAGCAGCTCACATTTCTTAAAACAGGTATCATTTGAGAAATAATTATTGACTACTGACTACCTAACAGGGAGCCTTTGGGTATTTGAACAAAACAGATAGAAGTCACTCCTCTTTTAAAGCTCTTTGTAAAGGAGAGAGAATAAATAAGTAAATTATGTAGTCTGATAGAAGACAACAAATGTGACAGGTAAAAAGCTAGAGTGAGAGTATCATTAGGGATTGTTGTAGCTGTCATTAGTGTGGTCAGTGTTGGCTTTATTAGAAGGTGATGGGAGCAGAGACGTGAGGCTGGTAAGGGAGGCCATGCAGGTGTCTGTGGGGAGAGCATTCCAAGCAAAATAAGCAGTGAATGCAAAGGCCCTGGGCCTGCCTGGCATGTTCAAGAACAGCAAGAACAGCCGCGGTGGGTTGAGTAGAGTGAGGTGGAATTTTGTAGGAGATGGAGTTAGGAAAATAGAAGGAAAACAGATAAGGTCTTAGGCCTTTGTAACATCTTTGGCTTTTGTTCTGAATGAAGTGGCATGCCATTGTAGGGTTTTGAGCAGAAGAGTAACTTAAATGTTAAGAAGTCGACTCTGCTGCATTGAGAGTAAACGATGGAGGCTGGGCACCGTGGCTCACGCTTGGAATCCTAGCACTTTGGGAGGCCAACGTGGGCAGATTGCCTTAGCTCAGAAGTTCAAGACCAGACGGGGCAATGTTGAAACCCCGTCTCTACTAAATACAAAAAATTAGCTAGGCATCGTGGTGCTTACCTCCTGTAGTCCCAGCTACTCAGGAGGGTGAGGCACGATAATCGCTTGAACCTGGGAGGCAGAGGTTGCAGTGAGCTGAGATCGCACCACTGCCCTCCAGCCTGGGTGACACAGCGAGACCCTGTCTCAAGAAAAAAAACGCAAAAAAACCCTGAGAGTAAGTGATGGAAGCCAGGAGACCAGTTAGGAGACAAATTGTAGTAATCCAAGAGAAAGATAATGGTGGCTCAGACCTATACTGGAGGTTGTGAGAAGTTAAAGAAAGCTCTGTTTGATTTATTGTGTTGACTTTGGATTTATGACGTACAAATGTAATCTAGGATTGACTTGGAAAATAAGAGAAACTGAGTGCTGTTTGGAATATATTTGTAGATATAGTGCTTTAAGAAATTGAAGTAGGAATGGGGTATTAATCTTGGAATATCAACAGTTTAAAAATATTTTGATGTTTTTATCAGTTAGATTTCAACTCCCCTGCGTGCCAGCATCTGAGGGTACAGTTACAAGTGTGTGTGGGTGTTACAGGAGCTCCTGGTGCCCCTGATCTATGGGCAGAGGAGAACCAGACGTGGCTTCTTGAAGCATAGGAGTACTTCGGGCAGTGACAATAGCATGAGCAGCGATGTTGTTGGAAAGGGGTCCCTGAGGGTTCTCGGATCTTGCGCAAGAAAGAATTCAGGGCGAGTCCATCGAGTAAAGTGAAAGCAAGTTTATTAAGAAAGTAAAGGAATAAAAGAATGGCTACTCCACAGACAGAGCAGGAAGTTCCTGAAAATAAGAAATAAGAAAATAAGAGGAGGAACGCATCCACCACAGGCACAGTTCTCTCTGTGTGTGTGTGTGTGTGTGTGTGTGTGTGTGTGTAGGAGGAACGCATCCACCACAGGCACAGTTCTGTGTGTGTGTGTGTGTGTGTGTGTGTGTGTGTAGGAGGAACGCATCCACCACAGGCACAGTTCTGTGTGTGTGTGTGTGTGTGTGTGTGTGTGTGTGTAGGAGGAACGCATCCACCACAGGCACAGTTCTGTGTGTGTGTGTGTGTGTGTGTGTGTGTGTAGGAGGAACGCATCCACCACAGGCGCAGTTCTGTGTGTTTGTGTGTGTGTGTGTGTGTGTAGGAGGAACGCATCCACCACAGGCACAGTTCTCTGTGTGTGTGTGTGTGTGTGTGTGTGTGATAAAAAAAGATTATGGGGCAATGTGCTTTGCTGCAAGAGTTTGTGATAAAGGATTAATTTTCTTAATTACTGTATTTTGCAAGAATCAGTATGCTGTCTTTTAAGCAAAATTAGGAATGCTTTTGTTCTACAGATGTCAGGATATCTGGACACTCCCACATCTGGGTCTGTTTAGTAAATCTTATTAATTTGTTCCCTTAACTGTAAACATCTAGAGAATAGGGAATGCTTGACTTTCTGGGAATGCAGCCCATCAGGTCCCAGCGTCATTTTCCTAGCCCTCACTCAAGATGCAGTCAGTCTGGTTCCATGCCTCTGACAGTAAGAGAGCCCTGCTCAAGTGAGAGGAACTTAGGTGTAGCTGGTGTGTGACACAGGAGGGCAGGGCGATGGCCTTGGTAGGGGGATGAGGGTGGAGAGGCAGGGAGGATGCTGTGGGTGGGGCTGATAAAGTGGGAGTAAAAGTACTGACAAGGATTTACAGCTGAGAAGTGAAGTGATCAAATTATTTTAGAGATACTATTCCATGGGTGATCAATTTAAAGGGTGGCAAGGCAAGTTAGGAAGCATTTTCCTTAGTAGTCTTGGAATGAAGATGGAGACAGGTTCTTGGGTCATGAGGTATTTCCGAGGTAGAAGAAAGGCCCCTGGGTGCCTCGCCTGGACCTGCCTGACTCAGCCTGAGTGGCTCTTTCATTGATGTTTCTTCCACTTTACAAAAGAAAGGCCAAAGTTTTCACTTCTACCTCTGAACATGTGGCTTGGCAGGCGTGTAAAACCCTACAGAGGAGAGGGACAGTTGCAAACAGTGTGGCACTAAGTGACTGAGTCACTAGTGAGTGGACAGTTGGCAGGTTTCAGCCCTTTGCATCAAATAACATGAAGAGGACCTAATCACCAGCCCTTTGCATCAAATAACATGAAGAGGACCTAATCACATCAACTAAGAGATTATTAAAAATAATTTTTGTTGGTAGATCTCTGTGATTTTTGGCATATAACTTGGAAGAAATACAAATAATTGGGTGATTCTGCTATTTTAAAAATAGGTTCTACTTATATGAAGTTTTTCAGTACTTACATCAAAAGGAAAAATAGGAATCAAATCATGCTCAACTTGCTCATCTGGCAATAGGTGGTGGTCATTCAAAGACACATGAACTAAGTGGGGAAGGAGCCCTACCAAGTTAATCACACTACGAGATACACACACTTCTATGTTTGTGTTTATTTATGTTTGATAATTTAGTTATATTTATATTGTTTTGCTCAGTTGTCTAGTTTTAAGTATCATAATGATAACTCAATCCAGAAGACATTTTTAAACACTTACGGTCTTATGGTCATTGAAAATGTTTAAAAGTTATCTTTCAATATGTAGACATTTGTATCAGAGTATGTAGTATGATGAATAAAATACTGGAACATAAAAATTATATTAGGATAATGTTCTATGGAAAATGAAATTGAAATAAAAACAAGGAAAATTTGTTTACATTTTTAATGGATTATAGTGGGCACCAGAACATTACGATAATAAAACTCCAGTGCATAAATGTAAAGTGTTAATGTAACCAGTTTATTTTGAATTTTGTTAGGCTGGAATATATATTTAAAATGATTTAATCTCACTGGAAATTTTGACATAGCTGCAACTTAAATGTATTACTGTATTGGGAGATTGCTGGGGTTTTGTTTGTTTTGTTGTTGTTCACATACCCCCTAAAAAAAATTTCTGAAGTTTGAGCACTGGTGGTATAGGAAGTGTGTGTGCAGTGAAGAAGGCTGGGCATGGTGGCTCATTCCTGTAATCCCAACACTTTGGGAGGCCAAGGTGGGAGGATTGCTTGAGCTCAGGAGTTCACGACCAGCCTGGGTGACATGACGAAACCTTGTCTTTAAAAAAATTTTGTAAATCGGCCTGGTGTGGTAGTGTTTGCCTGTAGTCCCAGCTACTTGAGAGACTCAGGCAGGAGGATCGCTCGAACCCAGAAGGTTAAAGCTGCAGTGAACCGTGATTGTGTCTGGGCATACTGCTGCCTGGTGACACAGCAACTCTGTCTGAAACAGAAAAAAATAGAAGAGATTCTGGGCTGGAACCTTAAAAACCTCCTGATTTAAAGAAGGAGGTCAGGAGAAGAGGATGCTGCTGTAGAGACTGGGAAAGAGGAAGCAGGTGGCTAGATGAAGGGAGGAAGGGCAGTGACCCCAGGGAGGCTGCAGGAAGATAAGGGCAGTGACAGTGGGCCATACAGTGGGGTAAAGAACTGAAACATGTTTGTATGATTTCATGACGAGATCATTTCAGGCTTCCTGAGAGCACTAGTAAAGGAGCATAAGCCGAATTTGAGTGTTTAGAATCCTTTTCTCAGCACCGATATTCTTTGGTGTGTAATGGGTTCTTTCCGTTACATCCTTTGCTTGCTTGCCTTTTGGCTAAAGTCAAGTTAAATATATATCACTTCTGATTATATGCCCTTCTCAACAAAGACATTTCTATTTGTCTGCATGTCACGCTGTGTGACTGACACCACACGACCATATGAATTATGTAGTGTAGGAAAGGACAATATGTGTACTTACACAGGTAATCTTTCTAGCAAGAGTTTTATTTAAAAATACCGTGAAGAATCAAGTTTACTAGATTAGATTTAAACAAGGCACAATATTCAAACTTTCTAGATAACACTCAGATCTTGTACTATAACATGACCATGACATAAAACCACAAACGATACTAACCAGGGTAGTTTTAAGTAGTGATGCTGAAAGAATTTGGCATGTACTCTGAAGATTTAATTTGATGTATTTCTCCTGAAAATCTGAAAGTTTTGAATCTGAAAATTCTGTTTAGCTGGTAATGCTGAGATTCCCGCTTGTGGTTACGACTTCAGCAGAAGGATGTCTTTAGTGTTGACTCTTCCTTTCTTTATCTTGTCTCCTGCTTCGCGAAAGATCAGAAGTAATACAGGACACTTGTCTAAAACTCTGTTGATGAAATTTTCAAGTATGGCCTGACCTAAATTCAGATAATTGAAAGACCAGAAAGGACTTTTAAGGAAGAAAATACAGTTAGACAACCACTAAAGAAATCCAAGAATAAATGACTTCTGTTTTATACCTACAGGCTGTTGTCTGCCATTCTCAGAGTTTCAGAAGTTGAATCTCGAGCAATAAGAGCAGATCTCACTCATCTACTAAGTCCTCAGATGGGCAAAGATATTGTTTGGTTTTTAAAACGCTGGGCAAAGACTTATCTCCTGGTGGATGAAAAACTGTATGATCAGGTCAGAATGTAAAACTGTTAACACTTCATTTGGATTTATGATGATGGCAGTTATAGAAGCAGGAACATTTTTCTTGGTGGGTTTTTCATCAAAATGTAACTGTTTAAGAGCAGTTCAACATTTTCTATGTTGAAGAGAATTACGTGACTGGAATGCTGTTTTAATGTGTGTCTTAGAGCACATCACTTGATTTAGTTTATTTTAACCACTATTGAAGATAAAGATTATTATTTGGGAATAGATTATGTTTTTTTGTATTTGGTGTAATATTATGTTAGTTTTTTAATACTATGGGAATAACAGAAGTTGACAGGAAAATCACACTGGAAAATGTGAGTGGATTGAGGATGTCTTTTTTTTTGACCTGTGAAAATGAGTACCTGCGTAAAGTTGTTGTGAAGTAAGCACTACTTCAGATTAGATACTGATTTCAGTTTGATTTTTCTCTGTTTTTTTTTTTCTTGAGTTGATCTTTCTTGCTTACCTTAAAAACTTTGTTTCCTCTCTTAAGATAAGTCTGCCATTCAGTACAGCATTCGGAGCAGACACAGAGGGTTCTCAGTGGATAATTGGCTACCTCTTACAAAAAGTCATCAGTAACCTCTCGGTCTGGAGTAGTGAGCAGGACCTTGCAAATGACACTGTGCAGCTCCTTGTCACTTTGGTGGAAAGAAGAGAAAGGTTAGCTCATTGTTGGAGGCTGACTGTGTGTACGTGTGTTGGTGAGAAACTCTTTTTCCCTTCCTGGTGTAGTCCTTTGAACAGGCAGATGGTTACACCGTCCTAATTCTAGCTAGAGCCTACGTTTTTGGAATAGTGCCTTTTAAAAACCGTATCACACTATTATTACAAATGGAAATAGAGCTTTCCCTTCTTATAATTGAGCATTACATTGACTCCTTCAGGATTTGGCATCAACGCCCTATGAGTAACACATCACTAATTTACAGTGTTACGGACACTTTTATGTGGAATGTGCTCTTTTGAATTTTTAGACATCTTATCCCCATTTTAAATATTAAATACTGATATTTAAAATTTAATGCTGGAAAGTAAAATTTTTAGTGCTTTCTACAACAATTCTAGAAATGTTTTCATTGTTCTTACTGTGTAGGAATATCATTGTTATTATTACCATTATCATTGGCTGGTTTATTGAATTCTTACAATTTACTATGTACTCTTCTAAGCACGTCATAGGTAGTATCTCGTTTAATCATTATATCAGTCTCGGCCGCGTGAGACTGTTATTCCTATTTTGCAGATAATAGAGAAGTGATGATTGATAGAGGTTAAATAAATTTTACATCGCCAAACAACTAGTGGCATTTGAATGTGAGCCTGTGTGACTTCAAAGTCTGTCCTGTTTACTGTGCTTTGCTTTAAAAGTAATTAAATCTAGCTATTTTTTATTTTTGTTTCTTTGTGTGTATGTGTATATATAGTAATACATCTTATGTTTTGTTATTTCTACCTGTAGGGCAAACTTAGTAATTCAGTGTGAGAACTGGTGGAACTTAGCTAAGCAGTTTGCAAGCCGAAGCCCACCTCTTAATTTCTTGTCAAGTCCTGTGCAGAGGACATTGATGAAGGCTCTAGTCTTAGGAGGTTTTGCACATATGGACACGGAAACCAAACAGCAGTATTGGACGGAGGTAACAGTGCCTTCTATTTTGATTGCACCCTTTTGTGTAACTCTGTAGTTCCTTTATCTATGCATTGCCGTAAAAGAGTCTCTAGAGACATAAACATATCAGTCATAGCTTTTCTTTTTTTTTTTTTTATTTTTGAGACAGGGTCTTACTCCGTTGCCCAGGCTGGCGTGCAATGGTGCAGTCTCGGCTCATTGCAGCCTCCACCTCCTGGGTTCAAGCAATTCTCCTGCCTCAGCCTCCCAAGTGACTGGGACTACGGACTCATGCCACCACACCCAGCTAATTTTTGTATTTTTAGTAGAAACGGGATTTTGCCATGTTGGCCAGGCTGGTCTCAAACTCCTGGCCTCAAGCAATCTG